ATTTCTGTACCCACAATGCGAATTAAATCTGCAAGTGACACCGCTGTGCAACAATTATAGTAAACGACATTGTTCTCAAGATAATATGTCGGGTTTCATATTTCAAATGCATCCTTATTGTCGTTACAACTTCCTTACGCCGGCGAATCGAGAAGTTTTGAACTTAAACGTAGCGTACTATTTTATACTAGCATTAGAATAGGAAACTTTAATTTAAAGTTTTGCGTATTTGGTAAGACATTAACGATGCTATTCAGTAATCCATAGCATTAAAATCGTACTGGAGCCTTATGGACGCGACATGCAGCACAACAATGAATGTTAAGCTATTAATTACTTTAATACCTATATTATAACGGGAGGACAATATATATTCCATATCCAACGTGCCTTGTTTCCATGTAATAGAGCTTTTGGCCAACACATTCATTATTTTCGTTGGTTGATATTCATCAATCATTGTTACAATATCGAAGCTGCTGGTTTGCCGCAGGTATTTGATTGATGTGAGGTGGTCTTTAGCCTAATTTTTCAACAGCGGATAAATGTTATAGATGACTCTCGCTGAATACAAATTAAAGCTTGAAGCAGATTAAAATTAAAATTATACGCCTTTTACATTCTACTTGACAATTTGTTCCGATTATCAATGTCTCAACAAGAGTAAAACAGCATAAGTCGTTCAAATAAACCCACTAACCATATATTTTTTTACGTCTTACGATTTAGTCAGCCATGGGATGCGTACACTGCTAGTAATAACAAAAGAGAGAAAATCGGTGTACTCAACGTCATGTTCTTCAAGACAGCAATACTTTATAAGCCCCCAAACTAAAAAATTAAAAACAATCAAGTAATGAAGAAGTGAAAGAGTATGCAGAGGAAGAATTAATGAAGCACGGTGACCAAAGAAGGTGAAATCATTGCGAAAATGAGAACAGAAAACTTCCATAAAGAAAGAATTTATTAAAAAAGTAATCCATACTTAAATATATGAAATTGAATTTGAGAAGATGCAAACTGAGGAAAACGGTAGAAAAATTGGAAAATTATTTAGAAACTACGTGAAGGGTAACGAAGAACTTTATTTCCGAGTAGTACAGGGTGTTACAATTTAGAGTGTATTGTGGATTTTGTGTACGTAGTTAACTTATCATATCTTATCTTATATTTTAAAACCCGCATGAATTCAATTACGATTTTATTATCAGCTTGTACGATGAGTCATTGGATTTTTGTTTGCTTTATGCAGCGTGGTGTCCAGGAAGTAGGAACGAATATTAAAGTGCTATGCAAATACAAATATGTATCAGTTACGTGCATTCAACATCTTTTCATAATGTCACAATCACAATAACTATTTACCTCAACTCGGTTTAAACAACTACCGTGCAGTAAATGTACAATCACGCATCTTTTTCTCGCCAACAATCGTTTTCTCTCGGCGATTACCAGTAGCAACATATTCATACTAATTCTATTCCTATTAACTCAAGAATAACCCGAATAACCGCCCTGTTCGAAAATGGTGGCTAGCCGAAACTATGCTTATTTTTCAGTTTTTGGTTAAAATATCGATTAATTAAACTCGTTTAACACTTAACCAGAATTTACACCTGTTGGCGGTTTTTCAGTGTCCATACCTAATCGATAGATTATCGGTAATTATAGATTTATCGACCAATCCTTTAAATTTTCGATAAATTATCGATTAACCGACCATTTTTTAAAATATATCGACTATATTAATCGATAATTATCGATAAGTTATCGGTTAATCGATAAGTTATCGATTAATCGATAATTATCGATAAGTTATCGGTTAATCGTTTGTTGCAAAGCACTACTTTTAAATGACTAATTATCGATTAATCGATAATTTTTTTTAATTTATCGGCCGTCGATTAATCTAATTCAGACCAATCTTGGGTGTATCTTTAATTATTTTTTGATTTGCCAGCTTTGTAGCCACTTGTGTTTTTAACATTTGGGGGATGCAGTCACCCAATCTAAAATTAATGGGGGAACCTGCAAAAGCTCTGATGAAGATGATGACTGTAGTGCACCCATGAATCTCCATTGGGCGAAGGCTCACATTTTGGGTCAGAGTCGCTACCTGTTACGAGAAATATAGAACCGTACAAACTTGAGCAAAATAGGTTCGAAAATTCCATAATCTCAAATGTGGGTGGAAATATGAATCGATAAAATTCGATGAATTCTTCCCCAAAAAATATATTACTGCTGGTTTAATTGCGAAAGTTGCAAATCATTTGTAAATGCTGACATTTTTCGTTCTGATAAATGACAGACCATTTTCAAAGCAATCTTTTGTAGTTTATTCGCTTTTGCGGAAGACAACATCGAGTTTTATTGATTCATAAAGAAAACCAGGATTTTTAGAAACTGTTGCAATATCACTGTAGAAGAGTGATTCGAGTCTCGTGATCCTTTTTCCCAGTATGTCCCGTACAAGAGCGCGTGTGGGAGTTGTAGAGGGAGGGACAAACAGACCACTGCCAGTTCCACCGATGTGTTGTCTGTCTTGAGCATGTTTTTTTACTGCAGTCTTCTTCAAATTGTTCCACTTTTCCTTCAAAATGTTGGCAAATCTTAGAGCACCTACAATCTTAATGGCATTGAATTCAGCGGGTAATTTTTACCATGTTTCCGATTGTTCTGTTCCCTACCAAATGCTTGTATTGGATCACTTTCCAAAACTATTGAAATTTTAAAATCTTTGCTGTCGTTTTTCCATCTTCACTGATAACTTGGCATCTAGAAACAGATATACAGTTAAAGTTTTGATTAAACCAAAAAATGTGGTCTAACCCGTAACTGAAAAACCGGGCCTAAGTGTAACTATACAAAATGGGCCTACATTTTGAATTCGTTCATGATTATGATTTATTATGAATGATAAATGCTATTTTTCCTCTATCCTCCTCCATCTCCACCGCCATCCCCATCATTGAGCACCAAATTATGCTAATATTTAACGATCATGTTGCCCTTCCATCATCATAGTGGAAAATGTACAAGGAGGACACCTTTCTAGGGGCGAATTTTTGGAAGCAATCTTTTGGCCTCTAGATTTCTTAAACGTGAATTTTCTTTGAAGTACGTTCAAGGTCCCCAAGTATTTCCGAGGGGAATTTACTAGGGCGAAAACTATCACATAAAATATAAATCATAAGGGAATTGGACCTGAAACACATTCATCTTCACTTTGATTCGGGATTAAATTTCGAGTGGTCACAGGCATCGGTAAAGGCAAAGTAGATGACACCAAATTTGATTCGATAGATGCTTTTGGTACATCAAAGGGGGCGCAATCGGATTTAACATTTAATCTTCTGTGATTTGATTTGTTGTTACACCAAGATCGGGTAAAACTCATACACGATATGAGCCCAAAAAACAAGTTTCAAAAATACACAATGCAAATGCTCAGTACAGCATGATTAGGTTCTGCACTCAGATGGGTAAAAGAAAATATTCATCAGTAAATATGCAGTACATAATATAATTCTCAATTGCCTGCGTAATATTCACATTCGGCATTATTCGATGTACGGTTTCTTATTTTCGTGTAGTAAGGGCAATGTTTCGGAATCTACGAGCTGCCTAAACCTTTTTACCTTGTCTCTTTGAGAAATGTGAATCCTTTCCCAGTTTGGATCACAATCAATTTGTTGTTATTGTTATAAATTGGTAGAAAGGATTTAAATTTAGCATGTACAAGAAGCTCGCATTTGCATTGCGCCTGTGGATGTAGTACATCGATTCCGTCGATAGAGAGATTTCAATAATACTGAAAAAACTGAAAAATTGTGCTACTTCGAGATCGAGAGTTCGCAAAAAGCTTGTTTTAATAAATTAATATTAATTCCGTGGTGGTGACGGGTGACGCATTAACCTGGTCTAACCCTAAGTCCCTAACGTTGGGCTAATCCACTTTGATATTGGTGTGGGCAGAAAATTCCAGTATTAGTAGAAAAAAATGGCTAATTTCGTTTGCAAACATAGGCCTGTTCAGTAGATAGTGCGTAAGGTATAGGTACACCTCTACCGATTTTACTGCTGCAGCTCTAAATTATACAGTAAATGGTAATTTAGAATTCCGATTACAAAGTGAAAAGCTTTACACAAATGCTGTGCGCTTATGTTCTTTCAAAATAATTAACTTGGCAGAAAATTTATAATTGGAATCGCACGACTTCGTTTAGATTTATAGGAGATGATGATTGCCAGAAGTATTCATTAAGTGTTAAACGTATGATATAAAATCGAAACGGTTAAGTAATCTTTCAAGAATTAAGTCGAAGTGAAATTCTGCGGTTGTTTGTCACGATTAGTGGCAGGAGGAACGCGACCGGAGCCGCCCGTAGTGGGTACGAAGTGGCAGGTGGTGACTCCCGCGGTCAGCACTGCATTACTTTCGGACTAGGTTTCAGCACTGATTTCATCCACTATACACCTGCCAAGTTTTAACTTTCAAACTTCATTGACTAAAATACTACCTTTGGTTTTCATTTATCAATCGCTTTCTACCTACCCTGAATTTAATTAAAGGGCGACCGCGTATAAAACGGTTATACCTACAATTTGTATCGCGCCAAAGAAATTCCGCAAAAGACGACTGCGCCGCTTTTGATATCGTTTCGGCTTTGCCCGTGAATTCATTTATCCGTTAAGTATAATTGGATTAGTACTTTGTGTTTTTCAAAAGAATGATCATACGCAATATTGATATCTGGCAATTGTTCGGTAGATTAAACATATTCAATATAAAAAAAAGTTGGCGAGTAAATTTTTTTCCAAGAGGCTAAATTTTAGGGGTTCTTTACATCCCTCATTTCTTTATAAGCCAAGTTCCTATAAACGCGGGGGCGCCAGACGCCTTAGCCGACTCGAATCGGGCGCCCTCGGTTATCTTTGCTCATGGAAGCTGTGGATGCTCTTCTCATGTTCGCTGTTCCAGTATGTTGGGGTTCAGTTAGCGTATTCGTTCGCTGTGCATTAGACGCAGCTCGAAACGATCCATCCCTAAAGCTCACGATATCTAATAATATATTGACCTAAAAATGTTGCGTGACGATTGCTACGCGTTAATGAAACGCTGCGATTTCGGCGTACTAAATTAGACATTTGTTCGAATTTCTGTCGAAGTAAAACTCATTATTTCCTATTATTAATATTTACGAGGGTACGTTATGTGCTAGTGTTTATAAATGAGCGGGCTAACGGGCGGGTGAAGCTATATATTAGAAGCCAGCAGGTTTCTCGTCAGTGCGGTTCCGACCCTTTATATTGTAGTAGTTGCCGGTATCGTTAATGTTATATGGCCAAAAATTGGCCGATAGCTGTCTAAAATGCTTTAGGATATGTCCGATTTAATGATTTTGTGTCTCGGAATTCTCAATCTACGAAATGGAGCTTGAGTTATTACTTTACTGTTTAGTTTTTTCGTTAAGACACGTGTTTGCAAACAACACATCGCCTCCTGAGAATGTTCCTCAAACACTTCGGTATGAAGCACCAGATGACTGCCAGTGGTGGATACGTGAACCAGCTGTAGCGGGTGGACAAGATGAAGTAGCGTTAACGTGTAAATTACGGACTATAAACAGTGAGTTTGACACAACTAACTTTAGCGTCATTCCTTCAGAACACACTACCTCCCTTCGCGTAGAATGCAGTGATGTAATCATGTCTCGAAGTAGTTTAGACGATCGCAGTTTTGTACATTTGATAAAATTACGGGAATTAGAGTTGGAACATTGCAAATTAGGGCGATGGCCAGCGGGTACGTTAATGGGATTACGAGATCTAAGAAATCTAACTGTTCGAACTCATAACACTAATTGGCCGGCGATGAGCTTAGATCTTGCAGCCGAAAGCTTTGTGCCCGTCCGTCAGTTGGAAAGATTAGATTTGAGCTGTAATAATATCTGGTCGTTTCCCGAAAACATTTTTTGCCCGCTCACTAATCTGGTCACATTAAACGTTAGCGAAAATAGGCTTCAAGACGTTAGCGACTTAGGCTTCCGCGAGAAGGCATCGGGCGCACCATTACCTTTAATTAGCATTCCGGAGGAAGAGCACTTACATCGTGCCGAAATGCCCAAGGGCTTTACACATCCTTGTAGTTTAGATATACAAGTATTAGACACCTCGTTTAATCACTTCGTCTTGATACCGGCGAGCGGATTCAGCGTTTTACGCAGATTGCGTGAACTTTTCATTCACAACAACGAAATATCGATGGTCGCCGATAGGGCCCTAGCCGGTCTTAAAGCACTACAGATATTTGATTTGTCGAACAACAAAGTCGTGGCGCTCCCTCCCGAGCTGTTCAAAGACTCCGCGGGATCCATAAAAGAAATTTATCTTCAAAACAATTCTATCAGCGTTTTAGCTCCAGGACTTTTTTCAAACTTAGAACAACTACTCGCCTTAGATTTATCAAAAAATCATTTAACCAGCGCTTGGATAAACAGCGAAACATTCTCCGGATTAATTAGACTCGTATTGTTGAATTTATCCTACAATCGGATTTCTAAATTAGAACCCGCGTTTTTTAGGGATCTCTACACCCTACAGATTCTAAACTTGGAGCACAATTTATTGCAAAGCATTCCGGCGGACACGTTCGCGCCTATGAGCAATTTACACACTTTAATTATTTCTTATAACAAGATCACGTATTTGGATGCGTACTCCCTGAATGGCCTTTACGTACTATCTCTTCTGGGGATGGATAATAACTTACTTGAAGGAATTCACCCAGAAGCTTTTAGAAATTGTTCCAGTTTGCAAGATCTAAATCTCAACGGTAACGTGCTCTCGGCTGTGCCATTGGCACTTAAGAACATGCGTTTACTTCGAACAGTCGACTTAGGAGAGAATTCTATTTCGGCTTTGGAGGAGCCCGGTTTTCGCGGCATGAACAATTTATACGGCTTGAGATTAATCGGAAATCAACTACAGAATATAAGCAAACGAGCATTTGCGGATTTGCCGGCTCTGCAGATTCTAAATCTTGCCCGAAATAAGATTCAGAGGATAGAGCACGGCGCCTTTGAATCTAGTCCCACTTTGCAGGCTATTCGGTTGGATGCTAATCTCTTGACTGATATTAACGGACTATTTGCGGATATTCCCAGTTTATTGTGGTTAAATATTTCGGACAATCAGCTTGAGTGGTTCGACTACGCTCTTATACCGAGAGGATTGCAGTGGCTCGATATGCATAAAAATAACGTAAAAGAAATTGGAAATCATTACGCTTTAGATTTAGAACTTCAACTACAAACCCTAGATGCGAGCTTCAATAAGCTTACAAAATTAAGTAGCGTTTCAGTTCCGAGCAGCATAGAACTGCTTTTTCTGAACGATAACCTTATATCAGTTGTCGAACCCCACACATTTTTAAGGAAGACTAATCTAACGCGAGCGGATCTGTACGCTAATCAGATAGTAAGCATGGACTTGAACGCGCTCAGGCTTACACCCGTTGATCCCGATCGACCCTTACCCGAATTCTACATCGGCGGAAATCCATTTCAATGCGACTGCACTATGGAGTGGTTGCAGAGAATTAACAAACTCGACCACCTCAGGCAACATCCACGCGTTATGGATCTCGACAGCATCTACTGTAAGCTCCTGTATAATCGTGACAGTAATTACCTACCTCTAATTGAAGCCGAATCTTCCCAATTTTTATGCACGTATAAAACCCATTGTTTCGCATTGTGCCATTGTTGCGATTTCGACGCGTGCGATTGCGAAATGACATGTCCCACGAACTGCACTTGTTATCACGATCAATCCTGGTCCGCTAACGTCGTCGAATGTTCGGGAGTTGGTTATACGGAGATGCCGAGTAGAATACCAATGGACGCTACCGAAGTTTATTTGGACGGGAATAGTTTCGGAGAGCTCTCGAGCCACTCATTCATAGGGCGTAAAAACTTGAAAGTGCTCTATGCGAATAATTCCAACATCGCCGCAGTCTATAACCATACTTTCAGCGGATTACGTCGATTAACCGTATTGCACTTGGAGAATAATCGCATTAAGCAACTACTAGGATTTGAATTAGCAACGTTGGAGAGTTTACGCGAGTTGTATATGCAAGGCAATCTCATTCATTACGTTGATAATAGAACTTTTCTGGAGTTGAAGCAGCTGGAGGTTTTGCGAATTGATGGCAACCGTTTGACTACATTTGAAGTTTGGCAGTTTATAAACAACCCTTACTTAGTTGAAATTGGACTCGGTGAAAATTTGTGGTCTTGCGATTGTCATTACGTTCAAAAGTATAGAACGTGGTTACAAGTAAATTTAGGCAAAGTTTTAGATTCGGCTAAGATTGTGTGTAACCTCAATAATTCGACAAAAAGTGTCGGGCTTTTAATGACCGACTTTAATTCGACGTCTTGCACCGCGTACAGCATAAGCTCCCACGCAATTGTCGAAAGTCAAGTCATGAACGACTATTTACCGATGTTGTTGGTAGCAATGTGTGTTTTTTTAGCAAGCGTAGTTATTGTTTGTGGAGCTTTTTATTACCGCAAGGAATTAAGGGTGTGGATATACTCACGCTGCGGTTTAAGAATGTGTTATAAAACTACCGCGTTCGAAGAGCAACAAGATAAAGATAGACTTTTTGATGCATACGTGAGTTATAGCGCTAAAGATGACGCGTTCGTAAATCAAGTTCTTGTACCTGGACTTGAGGGTGCCGACGCTAACTACAGGCTTTGCTTGCACTACAGGGATTTCAACGTTTCCACATATGTAGCCGATACAATAATTGAAGCCGTTGAATCCTCGCGGCGTACTATTATCGTATTATCCAAAAACTTTTTGCACAACGAATGGTGCAGATTTGAATTTAAATCTGCTTTGCACGAAGTGTTAAAGGACAGACGACGTAGGTTAATTTTTATAGTGACGGGTGAACTACCTCAACGAGATTTAGACCCAGATTTAAGGTTGTATTTAAAAACTAATACTGTGATCGAATGGGGGGATCGCCAATTTTGGCAAAAATTGCAATTCGCGATGCCGGACGTTAAAAGAGCGTGCGTACATCAACGTTCCTCTGTTAATATTTACGCTTCGACGGCACCGATGCATTTGGAGCGTTCCCGAAGTCCTGCTCTACCTCCGCCTCCACCTCCAGGCAAACTGCCACCATTTCTGCAACATCCCCCAAGTCTCCCTCGGGATTCAAGGACATTGCCTCATCCTCTTTGGACGTAGCGGAATGTTCGCCGCAGGTAAGACATTTCGATTTCATTTTAAATATGTAAGACACATTAGAGTAAATTACTGCCATGGAAACATATGCAAGACTTCTCAGATTGAAATTTCAATGGTGATACATTTAGTGAACAAAATTAAGCAAATTTCGATTCTAAAGTAGCAAGGTAAAAAATTGGAATTCGCACACAAAAATGAAAATTTTATGACAAATTCATGTCAAGCTTTAAATTAGCACACGCCTTCGTCGCTTTTAATAATTCAGTTTCATTTAACATCTACTACGTGATATTCATAATTCAGTAGCTGATAAAACGTTTTATAACTAGGTAAGATGTTATCGGTAGCTGCCTTTGATTAAGTAACGTTATTACAGAATTATTCCTTCATTAATAACAGCTTTCTCGCTACACGTTGCTAATAATTCCTAACTCAAAACTTGATCGTGCTTTTGGCACCCACTATTGAAAATTTAGTGTCACTCTAAAATGAGAATTTCCATTAACGTGTTTATAACGTTAAAGTGTGATAACTGAAAAAAATTACGTTATTAGTTAAGCGTCTTATCACTATCACAAACAAAACATCGTATCGATCACGCTTTCCCCTGATCCATTGCGATCATAAATGCTTTACTGGAAGATACCTACGCATCACAGGCACCGAATACTCTATAAACATAAGGAATATTGCAAAGACACATTCTAATATTCTGCGAACGTTTCAATTTCACTATGGGCATCTAGGAACATTATAAGGATTTCGTCAGTAAATTGAATCGTTGTTGACTCTTTTTCTTTTATGCATCAGTATGGAATAGTCTCGAATGATCTCTACATAATACGTGAATGGATGTTCATTTGGGAATATTGAGAGTGGTAGTGAAATATTCTGGGCGGATTGCATATTAAACTGTGTAAGGCAGTCAGAATAAAGAAATTTCTTTTTGAAGTGTAGGTACCTAATACATAAGACATTTATATACCGTGGTTTGGTTCTGCTTCTGCTGATGACTGTTGCTGTTCCAACTGAGTAGAAACTCTCTCCTGTGGTGGTTGTTCGACAGCTCATGCTTACCTGAAAACAATTCTTTGAAATATTATTTATTTATGGCTGCTCGGACGCCTTGTATAAATCGATCGCGATCTCGGCAGCGCAGTATCGTAGCACTTTCGGGTTTGCGGCATTATTTATTTATTCATTCCAAACAGGCGTACGCCTAATTAGGTACATGAAATGTAAACTAACTTAAACAATTGAGAAAGCCTAAAATCGACACTGTACTACTGTATGTCACTCCCAAGGAGTTTTAATTAGACGAATAGTAGACGATCACAAGTTTTGAAAATTTTTTAAACGGAATCGGTAAATCAAGATCAATAATTGACGTTAGCAAATGATTCAACAAACGCAACATAGCTAAGAGGGGTGAGTGGAAGCGAAAAGTAGTCGTCGGAATGTGAAACATAATCAGTTGAACGTGTCGTCCGATTAGGAACTTTAAGAGACATTAAGGATAGCAGATAGATTTGGTCCACTAGATTATTCCATAGTTTATGACCAAACTGTACCAAAGCTATGCTTCTGCGATTAGCAAGACTTTGTATTTCAAATTCATGCCTGAGATTTGTAGATCTAACATTAAATTCGGGGTAGGTGTTATTTTTTTTAAAATATAGGAATCATAAATCTATTTTGAACTTTTTCGATGCGTTTTATTTGGTAAAGTGTATGGGGATGCCATACTACGGATATGTATACTCTAGCCTGGGTCTGACCAGCGTGAAGTCCAAGATTTTTAACGTACGAATGCATTTAAAATTAGCAGATTGTCTAAGAACAAAACCTAACATTTTGTAGGCGCTAGTAGCAATGTTTTCAATGTGTTTATTAAAGTTGAGAGAAGAATCATAGACAACACCAAGGTCTTTGATAGATTCCACTCGTTTTAGTTTTGTTCCGAACATTTCGTAATCGAATCTTATATATTGATTCTGGTGCGAAATATAGATAAAACTAGGCATTTGGAGATATTTAGTGGAAGTTTATTGTTAAGGCCCCACTTAAGTAGACGGTCTATGTGCTTTTGAAGGAGGTTACAATCCTCAACAGAGACGACTTCAGAATAGATTTTTAGGTCATCTGCAAACATAAGTGAGTTTGAGGTAATTATGGACATACGAAAATCGTTAATAAAGATCAAAAACAACAGTGGTCCTAGGTTGGACCCTTGAGGTACACCTGAATTGGCCTCAAACTTTCCTGAAGTATTACCATCAAATGTTATTTGAAGGTGCGATTTTTTAGATATGAAGCAAAAAAATTTAGCCAATGGAGAGTTAGTCCACGTAAATACAGTTTTCCCAGTAACAAATCGTGATCCACTTTGTCGAAAGCTTTGGTAAAATCTGTATAGATCACGTCAACTTGTTGTTTGGAGTCTAGAGATTCCTGGACGTGATTAGTGAAAGTTTATAGGTTTGTTAAAGTAGATTTGTGGGTCACGAACCCGTGTTGGGAATCATCTAATGAAGGTTTTATATGGATAAACAGGTTTGTGTGCAATATTAGTTCAAAAAGTTTAGCGGGCGCTGAAAGTATTGCTGTAGGTCGGTAGTTTTCAACCAATTTCTTATTCCCGGATTTGTGAATTGGTACGACAATCGATTCCTTCCACATATGGGGAAAGGTTTCCGTCTTAATTGCTAGATTGTATATATGAAGTAGTGGTTTTTCGAGCCATTCTGAACAACCTCGTACTATATATGGAGGAAACATGTCATTACCCGCTGCCTTTTTTGGTTTTAATTTTTTAATAGCATTTCTGTAGTCTTCCGCTGTAATTTTATTTAGTGTGAACATATCGTTCGAGATAACTTTACGGTCATTCGGAAAGTTGTTTGCATAATTGCTTTTATCATTGCAATAGACCCAGTTAAAATACTGGCCAAAGGAGTCAGGAGCAACTGAAAGTATGTTACAATCCGATTTCCTTTGCTGCTTAACGTAAGTCCAGAAATGATTTATGTTGGTATTAATATCTTGCTCTGTTTCATATAAGCACAGACAACAAGTATATGTTGTCTGTGATATAAGTAATTCACATGGGCAGCCCTAGTCAATCGCTTTAACCTACTCCTAGCCTCTAAAGTTTATATCATGGATGGAGAGCGGACAATTTTCTAAATCTGAGATAATAATTTTTTATTTTGAGAGTATTAATAATCTCATTAGTAAACCATATTGGATATTTGGACTTGTTTTTCTTTCTTTTAGCAACCACGCGATTGAAAATTTCATATACAACATTATAAAAGCAATTATATTCGCGCTATCGTGTTTTTCCTGCATCGCTTAGTCTGAACGCCGAGTCATTCCGGGAGTTCATAATTTATGAATTTTACCAGAACGTTATGATCCGATTATAATAGCCATTGAACATTCGGGTATAAAAATCAACTCAGAAGCCAATAAAACAAAATTACTCAATGATGTGAAACGGTGAAAGCTACTCTCGAAGCTACTGATCTGAGAAATCAAAAATGCGCTGAAGTCTATAGTGATGGCCCATCAGAGACTTTTTTTGAACTTGTTTGATGTACGGGATATACGACATGGTAAAATCAATTAATAGTCAATGAAGCAACAATGTTTCTGCAAATTGAGACAGTGAGGTTATATCGATTCAACATGATCGCTGTATTACTACATTAATGTTTGAACACTCAATAGTGAAATTATGAAACTGGAATGTTCTCGAATTACATATACCTACTACGAATATTCAAATCTGCTTAGTGCTTAGTATAGATGTTTTCTTGGTATTTAAATTAGAATACAACATTTTTAACGCATTTTGCATAGAACCCCCACTTTTGAAAATGGGTCAGAAAGACGGACGGTATGTGGTAGCAAACGGTTCTTTTCCTTGAGACCTTTAATTAGAATACCATGAAAGATCAAATTAATTTCCTTTTTTTTTTAATTCTTAAAAAAATGCGCTAAAAATGGGAACAAAAAATGAGCAGTAAAAGAATATGAAACGCCTGATGAAACGTTAACTTTCATTAGTAAAAGGAACCGAAAAAATTGCAGAAAATAAAATGCAAAAAAATCTTTAAGAGAAGAGAATCTGACAAACTTACCATTTACAAATTGTAGGGATTTTTGCTCGGATTTTTGTAGATTTTGTTAGTTATGTTTGGCACAAACTGTAATTAACAGGTAGGCTTCCATTGACATGCGCCAAGGATAGTGGAACCCGTTTTTTGAAAGAATTTTCTGCTCTCTCTCTTTCAGTTCTGCACATAGTGCAACGTTGTCACCGATTGTCACTCTATCGTTTAGCCAGTTGCGCTTTTTTGCCTACAATAATCACGGTGATATGAGAAATAAGAGTCAACGTTCTCACGGTACCTACTTAATTTTTCAAAATTCAATTTTTGTTCGTCGTGCAGTTTTAGACCGATTTCCTTGGTGAACTCATTGGTTCTCTATGAGAGCATTAATAAAATTAGCCTTAAAAAATCCCCGACCCAAAGTTTATTTACATGTTCAAAGATTCGAATGTTGATCCACTAAGGTTTTACGTGCACGTACTGCGGAAATAGGGAGTATTTGAAGTACTGCGCTTACGCTACTGGGTCCTGTCAGATAGTTAAGTACTGGTATGGTCTGTCGCTGTAGTACTGCGAGATACTTCAATACTTCTACCACAGTTTAAATTAACCTTTACAAATTCCTCTGCCTTCAGTGCGTCTGAATTCACTTTTAAGATGATCTGCGCATGCACAAGCTCAACCAGGGCGCATTTGTGTATGTTAAAGTAAATTTTAATTTATGCATTAACTTTCCCATATGTGCCCACCTACGGATCGCGATTGTACCAGCGATTAAAACCAGAAAGAAAATAGTTAAGTCACTTTTGAGCAAGAGGCGAAGAGTGCAATTTCAAATTTGTTTTTTCGATTATAATAGCCCTTATGGACAATTTCATGCCTTAACGAGAATATACAAA